CGAGACTGAATAACGGTGCCGGCGAAACGTCTGGGAATGTACCACGTCCACTGTCCAACTTTGAAAATTATTATGCATAAATGGACTCCGGACTAGGTGCGTTCCTCTAAGTCTTCCTAACAATATGACCAAGTTGCGAAAACAAGGTCAAGCAACCTCTAAAGATGAAAAAAGTTTACCTCATAATCTGGGTTGGATTCTTCAGTAACGTCATTCGACTCGGGATCAGGGCTTGCGGGACCATCTGCAGAATCATCAAGAAGATTGGCATTGGGGGTACTAAACAAAAAAAGCAAGACATTATTTTGCGAGTTGATAATAAATTGGAAAATAAACAGAGAATTAAGAGTCAATCATGTATCGGGCTTAACTTTTCTTCCGTTTCAAAATGAAATTTTCTGTTCAAAGTTTGCACAATACTTCATCCATTCCTGTCATCACAGGCCAATAGAGCTCTATCCTAATGCCTTAATCTAGATGAAAAAGTCAACAAACTAGAATGCCCTAGAGCCTACTGCATCAGTTGCAAGAACTGAGAATAAAGTACATTAGGGATGTAAGAAGGGCAACTAACAGAAGGAATAAATAACACCAGCGACCCCAAAGGAGCATGGAAGGAAAGATCGGGGCCAACCGAAAAAATAGCATTGACCGCGACGTCATTGGCTGGAAAGCAGCCGAAAGTCTGGCCTCTCATGGAAAATATATAAATGAAAGATAAGGGAAGCTGTGAACATCCTGTACAAGAAAAATTAGTAGAGGGGGATTGAAAGAGAGAAGAGTAAGAATTTCGTTTGCCGTTTGAACAGAGTTGGAGAAATTCGAGATCAGCAAAAACAACTAAAAGAGGACGCTTGGATAAGGGACAGCTATTAAACTAAAAAAAAGGCCTCGACCCTAGAAAGTCCACAGGAAGCTGGGCCTTGAGACCCCAGGGAATGAGACACAAGATGGCAAGAGGGTGTAATAAATGTTTGCTAGAAGTTTAGAAGAGATTGAAAATTAAAAAAGCGGCAGGAATGAAAATCATAATTTTGGAAAGGCGTCTTTGGTGAGGCTAGCATAAACCCTCCATCATACGTTCGGGGGAAGCCATGTGAATAAATCTCGGAGTATGGCTGTCAGTACTGAGGAAATATAGCTAGCCAATCAGATAGGACACAAAAGGGCTTACTTAATTGAAAACCAGTTGAGGTCAAGAAGCCATGCAAGAAATATGAGAAACCGGTGGTGATGATTAGGTTTCATTAAAGCCTGTTGAAGGGTCATACATATAGAAATAAAAAGAAAAGAATATACCAAGAAGTGTAGATAGGAAAATTTGTCGTATGAAGTAGAATTGAAGGAAGAGAAACAGCACTAGAGGCTGGAAAGGGAAAGAAAGATGTTATGATCATTGAAGAGTAAATTGGACCACAGGATTGTATTAACTTATCACTGGTAAGTTATAACTCTACATTAGACCTCTCATTGACGATTCCAATGAAACCTCTTGGAATGTACCAAGGAAACGGTCTGAATCCGTAAATTATCATGCCTACTATAGCAGATGACGCAGGTTACTACAAGATCTCCCCGTTGACCTGATCATTGTATAAAACACACAGTCTTATTTCCTCTGCCATTGCAGTAATGATAATTTTCGGCATCGGATTGCTGACTTAGTGAATTAAAAGTACGATGCTAAAAAATTTCAAAGGCTACTGCGGCAGAGAACGGATGACTGGGCACTCTATAACATATGCTTGCCAACCTGACCAAGTTGCGAAAATGAAGTCAAATGGATATTATACGGTTGGAGAAGACCTAGAAACATACCGTCTTGGAATTAGGATATAGTTTGTAATGTTTATATTTTGAAAAGAAAATCAAGATATACGAGAGTTAAGAAAGCCTTTCGTGATATGAATATTGTCTGTCATACTTTAAGGAGCATGAGATAGAAAAGAACATATCTTAAACCCTACACTCAAGAGAATTTCTGAGAGTATATAGTAACTGTTCCGTAATCAGTTTGGCTACATGTCACGGTCATCTGTCGACTCATACAACAGCAAGCGGAACACGACTCATCGGCATGGCCCGCGAAGACTAGGCGAATCTACTCACCACGTCAAACCTCTCATATGAACCAATCAGAACGTGGCACTTAGAGAAAGGCACTTAGTCCGGAGTCCATTTTATGCATGATAATTTCCAAAGTAGGAACGTGGACGTGGTACATTCCCAGACGTTTCACCGGCATCGTCAATTAATCTTGCCATTCTTAGCACCATACTATAACTCGTCAGAGACAAGTGAAGTCGATATTTTGACCAAATGTGTGCTAAAAAGTTATGGTATCTCTCCTTCTGCCCTGGGCTATTCACATTTCCTATATCCATGAAGCAAAGGCTTGACCATAACAATCACGCGGGGACTTCGGCCTTCAGTTAGCCTCCCAGAAGCAGAGTATGGGAAATAACGTCTCGTGAAACCCAGATGGCGTGGCAGTG